GGGTTGGATGCGAGGTTCAAGGTCCCAAGGTTCCAGAGCCCTACGTATAGTCTGGGTTTAGGGTTTAGGGTTTAGGGTTTAGGGTTTAGGGTTTAGGGTTTAGGGTTTAGGGTTTAGGGTAGTTCCTTTTTGGGGATTGCCTTATAGGATTCTACATATGAACCCCAAAAAGGAACTGCCATGGGGCCTATGGGTAGAGCTCGGTGTTTGAGATCAAGCGCTGATTCCGGGCCTTCAGGGTTAGGGCGCTGGGGGTTTCGGAGTGTACGTTTGAGTAAGAGATGAACCTGACCCTAAACCCCAAAACCCCTAAACCCCTAGACCCTAAACCATAAACCCTTTACCCTCAACCATGAACCCTAAACTCTTAATTCCTAAACCCCTAGACCCTAAACCAACCCACTAGCCTTAAACATGAAATCCCATGTCACTCTCTTGGAGGCCTGCCGTTTCGCCTTGTCGAATCTTCACCACGAAACCTCTGGGGCTTAGTGTCTTCGGGTTTGGGGTTTAGGGTTTTAGGGTTTAGGGTTTAGGGTTTAGGGCTTAGGGTTTAGGGCCTAGGATCTCTTTGCGTGAGCGTCGGGCTGCATGTGTGTGTTATCTCAGGGTTTTCAAGAATTCCACGAAGGCTTTTCAGGGCTTCCAGACTTAACGTCGGGGCCTTCATAATTAGAATAGAGTTTTATTGGGGGGGGGGGGGGTCCTTATTGGAACTATAGTAAAATATACCCCCAAACCCTATTCTAATTTTTAAGGCCCCTATATTTTAGAACCATTTTGTAGATCCCCCTTTTTTGAACCCCTTAAAGGAACCCTATTCAAATTACTAAGGCCCCTATACCTTTAAAGGAACCCCTTAAAAGAACCCGATTCTAATTCGTAAGGCCCCTATATTAGTTCATAGGCTCTTACGAGTTTCTACCATGTGGAGGGCTCAGGCTCCGGGGGCCTTGGGTGTAAAGTTTGGAGTTTCGGGCTCCGGGCTGCCAAGTCCCAGGCCCAGGGGTTTGGGGTTTGGGGTTTAGGGTTTGGGGTTCAGGGTTTAGGGTTTAGGGTTGAGGATTTGGGTTCAGGGTTTGGGGTTTGGGGTTCAGGGTTTGGGGTTTGGGGTTCAGGGTTTAGGGTTTAGGG